ACGCGGCTGCACGAGCACTCCGGCACGAGGAGGAGGAGCTGCACTCGTTACGACTTGTGTGGGCAGGCTGACGGTTGTGCGTCCAGAGCACCATGGGGTTGGGACGCGGGGACTGTGGAACCGAGGGGGCTTGGCCCCAACGTTCTGAACATTTAACTTTAGTTCAATGTGCGATAACAGAAAAGAAATACCCCCCCCCCCCCAACAAAAGTTGCCCCTACAACTCTGGAAAACTTCCAGTACTACTGCCGGGTGACAGCTACGGGAACTCCTCACCCATGCAGGGGTGTGGGCGTGGGTGGGGGTGAGCACGCTTCTGCCATGCGACGTAGCATTATGGTGCCCAGTATGGCCAATGATGCCACCCAAACACCAAGAATTACAAATAGAAATAGAAAAGAATGAAATACAAATCATGGAACTCTTCCGCGTAGCATCTGTCGTGTTTGTAAAACAGTTTGATGGGGGCCAAGAGATCAGTCTGTGTTTGTGGAGAGCCAACAGGAACCAGCGAATAGGTTCTGCTGCTTGTGAAGAAACTAGTGGAAACAGGAACCCGCACATTTATTTGCGAAGGAGCCAGTCCGGACGATGATCAAGGGACCCATGTTTAAAAAACAACTATGTGATCCATAAACCAGAAGTGGGCTTTATAAAAAACAGCCGGAACCAATGAATCAAAATCTTATTTGCACTGATAAGACAGGGTATTAGATTTATTCCTTGGAGAGAACCCAGGAGAGTGGAGATATAGATTAGTTGATATTTCGGCAACATGCCTTTTCGAGACAATAGCAAAAACAAAATGAAATGAAAAATAATAGCCAATAAAAATAGCAAAACAATACAAAGGTGCGGTTCAATAGCACTTCTGATATTGTTTTGATAAAGGCATGTTGCCGAAATATTTACCCAAACTATATCTTCTTCTTCTGGCTTTTCTCTGAGGAATAAGGCTAATGCTTCTATCTTATCTATGTGAATATGCTCTTCACTAATGCAACGAACAACTTACGTAAGATCTCGTTTCAAGGGGTAAATGGGAATCAACACAAAACTTTAAGGATCAGACATTGTCTGTCCCGCGCCAGGATTAAAAAAAAACGCGCGTGCTGCTGACGACCGACCTAGAAATTGATAAGCGAGGGAATTCTCAATGGGCACAGAAAGAGAGCATCAATAGCAGACCGGCTACCTGGAGCGCTGTGGTGCGTTCCGTAGGGTTCAGTCGGGAAGGCCGAAGATTGGCTTCCGCCAGGAGTGTTCAGTGGGTGAGCGCTGGCGGCTCTCAATTGGTGGACACACTTCCGAGACAGTGAAGCCCATTGGGTTCATAGGTACGTCTGATTGCGGTCGGCACCATCTTCTCTAAATGGCAGGAGTTAAACCATTCATATTCTTGTCTTAAATGATAATGATGAAAATGATAGCAAACATCAAATTAAATAAATGGGCAAGAAATAGGGTTCATTTCACACTCCCAGGTTCCTCTTGACTACCTCCTTGTTTATTTGCATCTCAATCAGAGTCGGGTTCAGGATGTTATCAAGGAAGGGGCCACACTTCATTGTGGTGCCTCCCCCCCCCCCCCAATCAAGACGTCCCCGGATTTCGGCCATTTCATTTCGTATTCTTATTTTTCAATCCATGAAATACGTTCTGCCGTAGTCGCGCACCCCACTTCAGTCAACTTTATTTCTAGAAGTCGATTTCCTTTTATTTTTGTGCTAAACCTGAGGACTTTGAGCCGCTTGTGGTGCCCACAGCCTTGACGCGTCTTGAAGACAAAAGATGTGAGGACCCGGAATGGGAATTTTGTTGCCCTTTCACCTCTAGGTTTTCGTGCCCCTTCGGCCCAAGGGAGCATGGTCCCCATGCCCATCCCTCTGTGGGCCGAACGGGCACCAAATAAGGTTGTGTGGCCCGAAATGAAGATTTGCATAGATAAGGACAGCAGCATTAGCCTTATTCTTCTGAAAAAACCGGGGAATAGAGATAAAGTTAGGTTGATATTTCGGCAAACATGCCTTTTTCGAACGGCTGGCAATGGCTTTTTGTTTGATCCCCTGAATGCTGGTGTCTTATCTGTGTAAATAATGTTCCTCGTAATGCACTGACCAGTTTACGAAATGATAATTTTGGTGCCTCTTCATCGCGATAATTTTGGTGCTCCTTGGTCCAAGGGGGATGGTGCCCTCACTTTGGATCCGCCACTGACTCCAACCCATGTTTATCCATGTCATTTTGTATCGTCAGACGTTTGTTCAGTCGCACCTTTATTCACGTCAAATTTTTCCCAATTTCGACTTACCCGCCGCAAGGCTAATCACTGTCGATTTTGCGTTCTTTAAAGCGTTTTCCAATGTTGAATTCCTGTCAAGTTTTATCCATTTCGATCTTTTGCGATTTTACCTTTATCCCTGTAAACTTGTGTCCCATTTGACTTTTTGCCCTCGAACTTTTTCCAATTCTACCCTTGTCCCTGTCGGCTTTTCTGCTTTTTTAATTTTTTTACCCTGTCGCTTTCCTCCGATTCGACTCGCATCCCTTTCCACTTTATCCGTTTTCGATACTTTAATTCCACATATGGCGTATGACATAGCTGTGTTTCATTTCAGCCCTCATGCTGCTGAATGCTGAAAAGTCCACGACGTCACGTGCTCTTGACCTATTCATGCTTGTGCCTCAACGTCATGCAGTCAGCTACGCACCAGATAATATATTGATACCAATGCAACTCCACCCTCCTGTCTCAATCAAATTGCTTTGATCGCGCGTTGCTAGCCTGTTGAATGTCTCTTCACATGTCAGATATCTGCCTTGCAACGACGTGATGTGCACAACACGAGGGCAGGCGGTAGAGGGTGAGAGGCCATACACCAATCAACTATTGCACCCTACAGCGGTTGGTCAGCCTGCAAACAGAAACAGACATGGCCGCCAGCGCAACGGCACACTATTGCCTCAACTGAAGATTTTTCGCCCCGTTTAGCGGCGACCGTCGGCTGCCGGTCCAGTGGTAGAGACGCATATCCGCCGGCGCAGAGAAGTACCAGCGCAACTCGCGATCAGCGTCTGCAGGAAGTCTGCGGCAACCGAGCGCAGGCATTAAACGCGTGAAAAGACCCTGGATGTTATGGTGCAGTGACGAATCTTTTGGACCGCAAGTCCATTGGCGCTCAGCAAACCAGGCAACATGAACGCGGGCATTTTGGCCTGACGAAAGCGGAGGGGTTTGCTGACAACGAAAGTTTTTTGACCGGTTGGGAACCACAAACTATTGTGAAATGGTGCAAATATTTTTGGGGCAATATTGGGCACTGTAAATCCTGACTGTATAAATCTGTCTGTCTGTATTAATTTTGTAGCCCCAGCATGCTTGTGTTAGGGACCGGCGGGCTTTTAATAGAGCCCGTTTTCGAACACCTCAACATCAGTCGTTTTACGGTTGATTGTTGGCGTTTCTGTGGGTCCGACATTGTTAGGCTGATCGGGTGATTCGTTGACAGAACATACACCTTCACGCTCCAGTCGGTTTCGAGCAGTCGTTTGCTCTGGTCGCTGAATCCCCAAGACTCCTCACCGTCGGTGTGCTGTTTGTGCACGAGCGCACGTGCGCAGCCGAACACATCAATTATCACTATTGCCCACGCGATTGTCATTCTTTTCCCAGTGTAAATGTGTTAATTCTTTTGGCTGTGAGCCCTCGTCGCGCTGAACTGTGAGGCGGGTTTCAACACGCGTTTCGGCGTTTTTTTAAAACAAATTTCGCGTTCTAAAGTCGAACCATCGCGATGCCTATGTTTGCACGTGCCGATGGCGCTCCGCTTGTGGGATCCGGTCCGACGCCCGATGCAATAACGCAGCCCTGCTGGCCTGGCAGCACGCCCACTTTGCGTGGCCAGCTGCTACCGTCACCGAGCCGTGGCTGCACATGTGCATGACTGCAGAACAAACATCTCGGAAACAACAACGTAGATTTTCGGATAGCAGACGTCAACTGGTGTCACACAAATGCCTCTTAAAACAAGGTCCTCAGAACTTATTCGTTTGTTTCTGATGCTGCCTTGAGCGTTATAAGCGCATACAGCTGCCCTCGCCCCAATCAGTTCTAAATGGCCGCATGCCAGTTGTTAAAACATTATGTACAAAACACGGCCCCTGGAGGTCGTCCAATTGTCTGGCGTTGAAAGCATTGTATAAAAAGACGTTATACTGTCCGTCCTCCAAGGCCTATCTTGCTGCATCGGCACATAAACTGAGTGCTGAGTGTTCAGGACATTGGTTAATTGAAAGCCTGCATGCCGACAAAGCCGCGTCGCACGGTAAGTTGATGTCGAGGCGCCATTTGACACCGGTCTGTGGCGACGTCCATGGGCTTACCAATCCCACGCACCCACAAAACGGGCGTTTCGTACGGACTTTATAGCTCCACGAGCGTAACACCAGCAGGTTTCAAATCGATGTAAAAGTATTGCCAGCGTGGAACATAACCACTTGCACTGTGCCGCACCCAGGTGTCATTAAACAACCGGTAAACGTCTGAGGAGGGCCTTCAAACAAGGCGTGCCATTCCTCCGCCTCCGGGCGCCCCGTGCTGGACGGCACGCGGTCCTGACGTGTAATTGTCCCGAGAATGCGCTAGAAGTGGGCGTCCCAGACCGGACGTCACGCCATGGTGACGCGCGCTCACGGCCGGCGCAGTTACGAACCCCGGCCGTCTGCGGGGGGCGGTTCGTGAGCTTTAACCGCGGGCCGTTCGATCCTCGTCATCACTCCGGCGCCCAGGCCGATCCGATGGACAAGCGTCGCAGCCTGACTCAGCCCCTGGCCTGGGACCAGACGTAGAGTAGAGGCTCCGTCGACCGACTGAAGCACGTGGCTCACGTGAAGCCGAGGCAGCTGAGGCAAATCAGCCGCACCGTCTGTAGAGGCGTCGGCAGTGTAATCATGGGCAGCGGCTGAAATCCCAAGCGTCAAGGCGGAAGCAAGGCGACGCAATGACAAGGTCGCACCGTCTGCACGACAAGCTGCCCTGCGCGCAGTCAGCGGCGGCGGACAATGCCTCTCGGACACGGTGAGGTCGCGCCCCTTGTCCATCAACCCGTCTCCGCCCAAGCCAATCACAGCGCGAGGCGGACCGCCGACGAATCTGTAGCAGCCGGCGCGCGCCAAGGTCATGGGGTCACGCACGCGCTGCTCTCCGACCCGGACGCGGTCTGCATCAAGGAGCCGCCGCCGCCGCGAGGGGCGGCCGCAGGGTCGGACCACCGCGGCGGTCCATGTGACGCGGCGCTGATAGATCGGGCGCGGAGGCAGCACGGATACGGATACGCGGATACGGATCGCAGCTGGGGGCGACACGTGCCATCACTTTAATGATGGCGCAAAAATTACTGGGCCCGAAGCGGAGCGAGCGCTTTTGATACAGTCATGGGTGAGGTAAGCGTCCAAGATAGAGGAGGGGTAAGCAGAATTGAGGGCCAAATTGCAGTCCGAAGATACCCTGAACTGAAAGTGACATTTCTGAACCGGACAACCCGAAAAACATGCATTGTACGCACAAAATTCGGGATACCCGTTCCATTTTGAGAAAATTGGGAAGCGTGAACCCTCCAGCTTGCAACCTGCTGTCATGTCATTAGTACGCTGACGCCGAATCTACAGGAGTGGTTTCGAACTGAATTAAGTATTTTAGACTGCCA